TTATAGGTTATGCGCAGCATTGCCTCAGCATCTATTCGTCACTAATGTCCTGGATAGTAAGCATAGCAAAACAAATCATGCGTGTTGTAGAACTAATCAATGCATGTCGTAGCGCAACGCACGCTCTGTTGACTCGCAAAGCACCCCTAATGGCGGAGATGTTATGGTCGGTCGAAGCCGAATGCCGCCGTACTAAACGCGTGAGGAAAAGCGGGAAAAACGCCCTTGTACACGTTCTTTAAGCCTCGCTTATTATAGCCAGGGACGTTGACACCATTAGGCCGGCCACAGTTCTGACCCGACGCCCGCTCCGAAAATTCTCCGAGGCCGGCATTGGGGTCTCCAGATCTCCTCATGTAAGCAGCGTCTCATCAGCACTGGGATGTACGGTGTTGACGTAAACTCCTCTCGCCAAGCATTCGGTTACACACAGCAATCCGAAGCGCCAAGTGACCACTGCATTTGCGTCAACGCAAGCAATACGCAGCGCGACCTACAGGCGCAAAAACAAAACGATACTCTGAAGAGCCAAATAGTGGTATTCTCTCCTGGTTAAGCACCCGCCACATCCCTGTCCCTGCCCAAGTGGGGCTGTAGCCTTTGTATATTTTTCAAGCCTAAGCGAGAAACTATCCCCTTACAGAAGAATGAAGTGACCTTTTGGAACGTCCTTTTGCGCTTCGCCACGCGCACCGCACTGCATCCCCTTTCCGCCGCTTACGCAAGTTTATATGGGTTTAAAACAATGCAGAGGCACAAGCTGACTGCACCATAGCCCTATGTACACGGCACGCACGTACTGCAGTATTTGCAGGCTGGCGAGATTTTTTGCGTCTGGCCCACAAACCCAACAATGCGCTCAGATGCGAAGAGTCACGAAGCACAAACTAATCGCTTTAAAACAACAAACTGTGCGACACAGCGCTGGCCGCTAAAGTCGCCATTATAAGACGCACGCATTGGACCGGAATGCATCCGCCTCCCTACACCTGCGCAGTTTTGCAGCGCATGCGTAACCAATGCAAGCATCAGGTTTCTGAGATGGCCACCTTGGGAACGAGAAAGTACTAAAATGCGACGTCCAGTGGAAGCAGACGTTTTTGTCCTTAGCAACAGTAACGCTCAGCACCCTCTGCATACGCAAAAGATAGTAAGCTTGAGCTTAACTTCTTGCGGCACGTAATTAATGGTTGACGGTTGTTCCGTTGCGTCAAAGGCAACCACAGGCCGAACTGGCAGTGAAAACACTGCACGTCAACCAGCCTTCCCTTGACTTCGTTCCAGAAGGCAAAGCCCTGAAGCGCTGTCATTCAGGCGGTATCAACAATTCCCAGTACATTTGTCAGAAACATGCACCCGATAAGAGAAAAGTAATTGACTGTGTCCACTGGAAACAAACGCCGATCATTGCCTACAGCTCTCAGGCCTAAGTAGCAGTTCTACACGGAACACTTCCTATCAACTGATCGAGGTTCCAAGATCGGGAGTGGGGGGCCCTGGACTGCCTCGTCCGTTAACCAAACCTAGCCAGAATGAATCGTATCATCCATCGTCTTTCGCATGTGACCATTCTAACTTTTGATGTTTCCCAGCAGACTCATATGCGCAAAACACCTATTCCTGGCTGGCAAGGCATCCGACGTACAAACTGCAACATCAGTGCTTCGCGGCGACCGGGCGCATCATGGCGTGCTCACTGGAATTCCAGCAGAGGCAATCTGCGTGTGCGTCGAGCTATTATTGATGGTTGGGCGTAAACGCAATTGCAAACATACACGGACACACCGACCCATACAGCAGAAGATCTCCTTTATTCCCCACCACCCAGCCACCACACTCCGCCTGTCACCGCTGCTCTAGGCCCTGCAACCACGAGTGAGATTGGTGAAATTGTTGTGCACGGCTGACAGTAGGCGAACCAGCGTTACCCATCAGCGCACGCAACTGAACGCAGCTGCGGCGTAGTCGTCCACATTTCTTGTAGGACGGAGTACGCACATCCTGCACGGCAACGACACGCCGCAAGTGCCTGCCGACCTGCAGGTGCAGCGCGCCAGACACTCCGCGCCGCTCGGCAATCCACGCCTGCACCAGCGCGCCGCTGATGCAGGCGAGGAACGCCAACAGCACCACGCACACATCCACAGCACACCCTACATTCGTCGCAGGGCTGCCCCTGCACCTAGCGCTGCTACTCCTGTCAACGTCCCCCTCGAGCCACGCGCACGCATATCTCTACCACAGCTCCATGTTCTGCTGTAGCAAGTGGGACTCGCCCGTGCTGGTGCTTGCGCTTACACGCAGTGGCAAACACAGTCGAACACACCGAAGCCTACCGCAAGATCGTCCATCCTCCAGACCATCCAAAAACCACAGTCCGCCTGTCACCGCTGTAGCAGGATTGACGAATATGTCTAGCAGACATGCATGCAAGCGATGCAGGGTTAAAAGGCACGGTACGCTACAGTACGCAAAAGAGCCGTAGTCGTTCAAATTTACTGTGGAAACCCAAACGCACCGGCTGCATGGTGAAGGGAATCCGCAAGTGTCTGCCCACTTGCAGGTGCAGAATGCCACTGCTCCACCAGAGTGGCAACGTGCCAGGCGCCCTTGCAACACCACTGCGCACACATCGGCCGCGACGCAAGCCCTACAGCAGTCACAAGACTACCCCTGCGCCTGGAGCATCTACCCTTTAACATTCATAGGCACGCCAATGCCTACTCGTACCAGTGCCCCGCGTTCTGCTGTTGCATGTGGTAGTCCTTCCGCCTGTCGGTGATGCGGCGTAGATGCATTTGTAGACCCACGCGGGTACACACGCAGATACAGCAGAAGATCGTCCCTCTGCCGCACCGCTGTTGCAGGCGGATGAATGTGTCTAGCAGAGCTGCATGCGAACGACATAACGACGCCCGTCGACGAAGGCAACTGAAGGAAGGTGCGGCGTACTCGTCCATATTTCTAGTAGGACACGAAGCTCACCGGCTGCACAGTGAGGACGGTCCGCCGGTGGAGACCGCAACCTTTGGGAGCCACCTCTGCACCCNGCTCACCGGCTGCACAGTGAGGACGGTCCGCCGGTGGAGACCGCAACCTTTGGGAGCCACCTCTGCACCCATGCGCCGCTGTGCTAGGCGTCCTCGCACCATCACCACGCACGCCCTCACAGCATGCCCTGCAGCCGTCATAAGGTTGCCCCTGTGCCTAGTGCAGCTACCCTGTAATACCCGTAGCACGCCAACGCATATCCCCACCACAGTACCCATTCTGCTGGCGCAACTGCCGCTCCTTCTCCCTGCTCTTGCTTGCACTTAGATGCAATTGGAAATACACACGGATACGCAGGCACACACTGCCGATGATCGCCTCTATTCTCCACCGGCCAACACCACACTCCGCCTGCCACCGCTGTGCAATCTTTGCAACACCGAGTGGGATTGATGAGCGCGCATAGAAGAGTTGCACGCGAGCGATGCAGCGATACCAGTCGGCGCAGGTAACTAAACGCAGATGCGGCGTACTCGTTCACATCCCTTGTAGAACGCAAGACGCACTCGCTGCGCAGTGACGATGGTCCGTCAGTGTATATCGGAGTGCAGCTGCAGCACGCCAGATATTCCCTAACGCTCGGTGATTCACGCATGCGCCAGCGCGCCGCTGTGCCAAGCTCCTTTGCAATAACACCTCGCACGCATCCACTGCATGCCATCGAACCGTTACAAGGCTGGCCCTGAGCCTGGCCCCGACCCCGCTCAACTTCACGGATGCCAACGCACATTCCTACAACAGCTCCACATTCACGTGTCGCAAGCGGCACTCCTCCTCCCAGCTGCTGTTTGCGGGTAGACGCAATTGCGAGTACACATGGATACTCCGGCCCATACAGCAAAACGTCGCCCATATTCCGTCCCGCCCAACGCTCACAGTCCGTTTACCACCGCTGTTACTAACTCTATGACCGTGACTGCCATTGATGAACTTGTCTAGCAGACCAGCATTCAAGCGATGCAGCGATACCGACCGGGGCACGCAAATGAGCGCCGGTGCTGCATACTCCTCGACATATCGCCCAACACGCACTTGCTGCGCGGTGACGGGAGGCCGCACGTTCCGACGAACGTGCAGGTACAGCACTGCAGATCTCCCCGCAGGCTGTGGGAGCCAAATCTGCACCCGGGCGCGGCTGTGAAGGACATCCTTGCAACCATACCCCGCACGTCTCCAATGCGCGCTCGGCATCCGTCACACGGTTGCTCCTGCGCCTGCGCACTGCAACGTTGCAGCAACGTCACGCTCATGGACGCATATCTCCACAACAGCTCCACGTCCTGCTGTCGTAGGTGGCAGTCCTCCCTGCTGTTCCCTGCGTGTAGACGCAGTTGCGAGCACACACGGACACACAGACACATACTGCAGAAAGTCGCCTCTATCCCGCACCGTCACCACAACCACAGTCCGTTCGCCACCGCCTTTACAAACGCTGCGACAACTAGCGGGATTGATAAACGTTTCCAGCCGAGCTGCATGCAAGCGATGCAGCGATACTAGTTGGCGCAGGCAATTGAACGCGGAAGCGGCGTACTCATCCAAATGCATTGTGAGACGAAGCACGCACCCGCTGTACGGTGCCGAAAAAAAGCAAGCGCCTACCAGCGTACAGGCGCAGCACGGCAGACCTACCCAGTTTCCTTGCAACGACACCACGCGCCAATCCAACGGACGCCTTGCACCGGTCACGGGGGTGCCGCTTCGCCTTCCGCTCCTACCCTTCAACAACCTCACGAATGCAAACGCACATCTCTGCCACAGTTTCCACGTTCTGCTGTCGCAAGTGGTACACCTTCNAACCTCACGAATGCAAACGCACATCTCTGCCACAGTTTCCACGTTCTGCTGTCGCAAGTGGTACACCTTCCCCAGCTATATTTTTGGACTTAGACGCAGTGCCAAACGCACACGGACACACCGACCCATACTGCGGAAGTTTGCCGCTAAGTCCGACCACCCAACCACCACACTCCGCCGGCCACCGCTGCTGTATGCCCTGCGACCACGAGCGACATTGCTGAACGTTTTGTGCACAGCTGGCTGTAGGCAAACCAGCGATACCCATCAGCGCACGCAACTGAACACAGGCGCGCCGTACTCGTTCACATTTCCTGTATGACGCAACACGCACCCCCTGCACGGCAAAGACACGTCGCAAGTGCCTGCCGACCTGCAACTGCGAACAATGTAACGACGCCCGTCGACGAAGGCAACTGAAAGAAGATGCAGCATATTCGTCCATATTTCTAGTGGGACGCGACGCTCACCGGCTGCACAGTGAGGACGGTCCGCCGGTGGAGACCGCAACCTTTGGGAGCCACCTCTGCACCC